TCAATTTGACAAAATTTGCTCCAACTTTTTTCAGCTTCAAACTTTTGTTTGCTATGTTGAAAATAGAAACCACCTCACCAAACTATATTTCAAATGAATCTTCAAAAATAAATTCATCTTTGCACTCAATTTTCTTGGAATTTTAAACCTGTTCTCAAAATTCAGAACAGAGTTTTTCCAAATCCATTGAATGTCCTAAAGAAAAACATGCTGACACTGAAATGAGTTAAAAGTAATCAGTTTAAGGAGGAATCTCCTTTTAATATTCACTCTTAAGTTTAAAAAAAAAACCAACAAAATCGTTAGGTTTTAAGAAAATTTGTTAGATAAGTCATAAGTATATGTTGAACTACCCCGTAGGTGAGTCACTAAACTCAAAATATAACCAAATTTATCAAAATATGAAGCAAAATCCTTGATGTTTGCACTTGGAGATTGAACACAACCTTTTCACTCAGAGATGGGTCATTTGATACCAGAGAATGTGACTTATATTACATATTGAATTTTTAATGAAATTTATAATTGTAAGCATATACCTTTTTAAGCATTAAAATTTTTTATTTTCAAATATTAATGGGCCATAACTTGAACTCTAGAAATGAATATTTGTAATTAAATGAGAGGATGTATCAATATTCGATCTAAAAAAAGGAAAAACTACCATTAGTGATTTGAGAATTATCTTCAAGCGGTTTTACGACTAAAATCCAAACATAAATTCTATAAATGTGTTCTTTTAATAAGTGACTTTATAAATTTTTTTAAGAATTTGAGTATATTACTACAGTATCAAGGTTGATCCTATTCGAATACAAAAAAAATTAGAAACCCAATTGTCAAAGAGTTGAACTTCATTTAAAAATCATTTCAATATGAGTTAGAACTCCTTAAAAGAATTGTTTTATCTTAAAGTATTGTGATAGATGTCTGTCATCTAAAAGAACATTACTCCCTTTAAAGTTTGAATAATGTTTTGATAATAACCCTTAAGTTGGTTGTTCTTGTTCTAAGAAATGTTACAAATCTTTCACATTCTAACCTTTGATAAGTTAAAGGCATAGAATGATGAAAAATACAAAGTAAAAATAGACTAAAACACAAAATTTTTGAAATCATAATTCTTAGCTTCAATCTTATCAAAAGAAAAATAAAAGCACTACACATTCTCTTACATAAAATTAGCACTGGGTCTTTCGTGATAAGGATGGCATTCCAATTATCAAAATTTGATTTCAAAACCCCAATGGGAGTCTAATAATCAGTGAATCTCTTAATCTTTTAGGAGAATTTGGATTGTCAATGTTTTGAATTTAAGATAGACTCAAATGAAAATAAAACAAGTAAACTCCAAAATCTCAAATATTAACGCATTGAAAATAATCAAAATCTTAAGCATTAAAATCCAATTGAAAATAATAATCAAAACCTGAACACTTGAAAAGAGCAATAGGTTCGAAACTTAAACTGAAATCAAACCTAAAAATGATAGAACAAAATCATTAATATTTTCTAATGAAACTTAAAATAAAACAAAAACAAAACTGAAAATTGAAAACATTTTAGTCTTTAGAACATCGTTCTTAGACTATTTTGATTGGTAGTTGGGCAAGGTGTAATTTCCCCTAGGATGTCCTATAATTAATACAATTAGAAAAAAAACTCATAAATGCCCTAGGAGTGAGGCAATTCATTGAACAAAACATGAAAAAATTGTCAAAACAATCAAATTTCAAATAAAATAATAAAATTTCCAAACAAAATTAATCAACTTTCAAATAAAAATAATCACATTTTCAAATAAAATCTTCAAGCCAAAGATTTTCAAACCAAATATCAATCAAATCAATCTCGTTTAGGTATGGCGTAATGTCCTCTTGAGTTGTCATTTTTTTTTATTGGCTCTCAATTCAGATGCGGGTCGCTGTGCTTTTCATCCTAATGTGTGAGTCCCAAAAAGTTATAATCTTACAATTAAGTTAGAATATCATGAGGACTTACATCCAACCAAAGAGGTGAAAAAGGTAATTAGTTCAAGATAAAAATCAAACGGATTCACATCCAACTTAAGATGTGAACATGGTGAATAGGTCATAATAGAAAGCTCATGGACTCACATCCAACCAAGAGTTGAGCATGGTGACTAGATCATGATAGAAAATAGAGGGGAATTTATATCTTGCTCGAAAACTAATCGAAGAAGGTTTGTTTTGATTAACATGAACATATTAGAATGGAAAACATATAGACTCATATCCAACTAAAGAGGTGAATAGGATGATTAAATCAAGATAGAGGTGTGGCATAGAAGTGATATTATTAAAGATGGATTGGAGGGGTCTCCCAAAGATGGCATTATATGTCGACTCTGACGTAACTTCAATGAATTAAATCAAGTGTGTCGATTATCTAGCAAATTATCTAATTCCAATAAAAAGATGGGATGTTACCTCGACTCTGAAAGGTCGATTATTGAACACATAATAACCTAAAAGTTGGATGAAGTTTCTCCCTAGCTTGCCCCAAACTGACGAAAGTTGAGTAGAATAACATATCAGAGATGTCATTGTTAATCTGAATCCTCTTCACATTATAACAAGGTTCGCAGTTTTTTGTGTTAATGACAAGAGGGTCTTGGTGAGGAACTTGGACTTCCTCCAGGTCATAATAATCAAAAGTACCGTGTTCGAAGCGCGGTTTCTTTTCCATATGTTTTCAGTGGTGATGAGAACTTCATTAGATAGAATGAGCCTCCAGTAATTGTTTTAATTTTTTTCAATAATTTAGTGACTCCCATGTTGCTGCTTTTGTGTTTGTTGCTCCCTAGTGGGAGCATTATCCGTACATGCTTAATTTACACAAACTAACTCAAATATCTTTGTCAAATTAGTCTTTTAAGTTCTTCCTTGAGCTAATTAAATGCTTTGGTGGTGTGTCCATAACTTCAGTGGAAGTGACAGTATTACTCCTAATTCTTCGAGTTGGGTTTCAAAGGGTGAGGCTACTTAAGAGTTTCTTCAATCATGATGGCCATCATGATGCTGACATCTGATGTGTTGAGCGGCATATACACCTTTGATCGAGGCTAACATTGTTGGTTTGCAGGCCAACAAGGGAGATAATGATTTCCTCGATGTTTAGAAAACCTTCATTGTGAGGTTTGATTGGTGTTTCAGAGTTATCCTTACGCTTGCCCCTAAATCACTCAAATTGCTCCTTATGTCTCTGACATGATAAACTAGTTCAGTATAAGAGTAGACCGTCTCCCACATCAATAATTAATAGAAAGGTCCTGAGAGGATCTCTTCAATGAAAACTCCCCTCCCAAAATCTGATGAGTTTCAGTGGAGACTTTGCAGAAGTATTCATTAAGTAATTCTTCATTATTCTATCAAATTCCTAAAAGATGAGACGAATTTTTTATGATTCTCCTATTTCCTATAAAATGTTTCATAATAGCTTGACAAGCTCGTTGAAGGTGTGGATAGTGCCACCTGAGAGAGAGTAGAACCAAGTTCAAGCTTGATTTTTGAGAGTGCAGGACACACTTGAAAGAGAATCCATCAGAGGCATGTTGAATGTGTATGATGGTTCGATAATGGTCAATATGTTCATAGGGTTATTCATGAGCCGTGTTGGAGCTGAGCTAGGGTCAGCTAAAAATAAGTTCAAATGGATTGAATGCGGCTTGAAATCGACTAGTGGCTCATATATTCGATTCTGAGCTAGGTCAGCTTGAAATTCAATTGAGCTCGATCCAACTCTAAATTGAAATGATTTATCTCAAATTAAGTATGTTCTGGTTTTAAGATAATTTGTTTCAATTTTGGTGTTATTGGGTATAATAGTTTAATCCGTGCTTGATCAGACTCATATTGTGTTGAATGTTTTGAGATTTGTGTTGAATGTTCTGAGTTTGAATAATTTGTGTTGAATGTTGATTTGTGTTGAATGTTCTGAGTTTGAATATTTCTCATGCAAATAATACCTCGAGATTTGTGTTGAATGTTTTGAGATTCATGTCAAATGGCAAAATGTATTGATGATGTATCAAGAATGAAAAAAAAAAAATAAGAAGAAAACGTATTGATGGATATTAAAAATCATTTATAACACATCGCGGACTGATGTGATGGTAAAGTTGTTGAGAACATGGAAGTCACGTAATTATGAAATGCCAATTTTGATGAATAATCCCCTTACATTAAACAAGCCCAAACAATTTAAATATTTATGAAGATTATACAGACATTTTTATATTCATTCAAATTGGCGAAGTTATAATGCTCATGTTTTCGTTAAAACGACATGAAAGACATTCATTAAAATCTAAACATAATTATACTTTTGCCATAAAACTCTTTTATGAAATTGTATGCAAGCCAATCAGAACACGCAAAATACAATAATTTCAATTTCTTTGATTGGGATAATTTGGCTAGAAAGATCTGCGGAAGTTAACTTGATCAGTCGATGTATCAACATTAACAAACACGAGTTGTTCATTGCACCTCTAACATTTTTTTAATTAGTTCGTTAATTAGTTTCATCAAATCTTAACATATATTTTTTTCACTTTCATAATAATGATTAGATTCAATGTCATTTATCTCTAGTAAGCATAATTATATTTCCATTGAGCTCACCTTTCCTTACAAACTAAAAATCAAATTGAAAAATTCATAACATTAGATGGAAGGAAATTGAGCAGTTGTAGGTTAGTTAGTGCCTTAAAAGAACTGATTTTTAGTCATTACATTAGTATGGATATAGGCTCAGCTCTTGCATTATTTGGTACTAATAAATTCTTGAAAGAGATTTATATTATCATTGCGCCAAATGTTAAAACTACAATGCAGGAACAAAAAAATAAAATATTCTATTTCTAGAATAAAGTTACATAAACAGTTAATCCATACTATCTAATGTCAGCTGTACAAAGGTGAATAATAAGAGAATCAGACAAGCTTATATAACCAACAGCCAGATTAAGAAACAAAAATTAAATAATAAAAATTATTAGACAACAAGACAGGAATCAAATAATGAAGAAATGATTTTCAGTTAGACTAGAATGTCACATTATGTACAAACAAACAAAAAAAAATTTCCACGCTCATCGATTGAAATAAGTCCAGCAAGTATGCAGGAGGGTATTCTATCTTAATTAGTTTTCCCAACTTGAAGGATGCAGCTGAAATTGATCTTTGATGGGGGTTTAAATGTAAAATAGGCTGTAAAACATCAAAAAGCTGAAGGGTTGCAGCTCCACAATCGTGAAAGAGACCTTTAAGAAAAAGAAAATTGAATGCTGTAACACATCAGTTGAAAATGAATGAACAGTGCAAGTGTGCCTAGTTTTCTCGTGCAAAAATGCAAAAGAAAATAATAATAATAATGATAATAATAATAACAATACAAGTATGCAAAAGAACAGGACTTTTGAATTGATGTGAATGAATTAAGTTCAAAATTTTATGAACCAGTTGACCTTGAAAGAAAATAACTCACTCTTTTCGGCATCCTTTTGAACAAACAGATGATCCTGAAGTGACTATCGATCTGCGCCGCTATCTGAACCATCGGTGGACTGCAGAATAAGATGTAATATCATTGAAAATATTTAAGAAAGGCATCCATAAGAATCATCATCTCAGCAGTACTGCATTTCTAAATTCTTAGGGTTGGGATCACTTCTGGTTTTTAAAATTTTTATTCATTTTATTCTATTTTATTTATGTTTTGATTTGAAATTAAACTTGTTTGACATAATTGATTAAAATATGATTATTTTTAAAAACAATCAAATTACTTAAAATTCATTTTAAATATTTTCAAAACACATTAATTTAGTTTTAGAAATAAAAAATAAAACAAATTTAAAAACACACTAAACAAATATATTTTTAAAACAAAAATAAAAACAAAATTTATCCCAAACAATTTGCCTGCAGGTTTAATATCAATCACGTGATCATACTGTGAGGTGTAAAACTATTGAACAGAGATTTCATGCCAAATGGACAGAAGTTACAAGACAAGCTCCTCCTAGAATCATTTCATTATCATGCATTGCACATGACTAGCTGAGTAATTAATTCAATTCTAATCAAATTGACTAGCTGAGTAATTAATTCAATTCTAATCAAATTTTCAGGTGTTCTAGAATGCAAAATGAGACAAAAGAAGGAAGCTCATAGACTTGTGCAGTATATGGAAACTGAATTTGACATTTATGTATTGCTTACCACATCTTGCAGTTAAAATTTGTAAACTGTTCCTAATTTATGCTTTTGTCATTTGAATTGGATAACTTTACAATTGATTACAGTGTATATTTGAATCGAGAAAATTTTTGGCCAGAAGAGATTTGTGTTAAAATCTGAAGGTAAAATTTCTTATGCAACTCATACCAGTTTACAACCTACTACTCTCAGACTAACTCCTATAAATCTATTACTTATCATCCTCCACCAAACATATATATTACGATAACTATCTAATAAATTTAAGTTTGGTATCTCCCACCGTCAAGCACTACATAAAGGGATGGTTCCATTTAACGAAGCATCCCACAACAGAAGTAAAAAGAGAGAAGAGCAAGAAATAGGGAGGAAGAGACTTCAACCATAATAAGAACTTACTATAGAGAAAATAAAAGAGGAAGAAGCTCTCAAAGGAATTTGAAAATGAAAATAATAGCAGCGACATCTTTTTTTCCATTTTCAAACTTCAATTATGCAGCACGGGTGTGCATTCCCTTTTAATCATTAACATATAGAAAGAGGTATCCCTATTTATCTTTTTATGTATAAAAGAAATCTTTAATGTACTTCTTTTTTAAAGCTAAGTGAAATATTTGATATGTGTCATCGAATCACATAAAATTTTGTGCCTTAAGACAATAATTGTTAGTGTGTTCATTTTTAGCTTTCATTTGATTTTACTCATAAATGTATCACTAAAAAATGGTATCAGGAGTTTTAGCTCTACAAAAAAATTAAGCAATGGAAAAACCCACTAGTGCAAAAGAAAAATTATCTTTATCGCGAAAAAAAATCATCAACCTTTATAGGGATCAAAACCTCCTACTATTGGTCAAGATGAGTGGGAGTTGACGAACATACAAGCTTTAGAAGTTATTTGTCTATCTCTTACCAAGAATGTTGTCCTGTGAAAAGATCATACCGAGAATGATGAAGGCAATATTTGTTATGTATGTGAAACTCTCAGCTGATCATAAGAAGGTACATCTAATACAAAAAACTTAGGATGTCTGAAGGAGCCTCTCGTGTTAAGCATGTTAAAGAATTCTACATGCACACGAGACCGTCAAGCTTTATGGATATCAACTTTGATGAAGAAATTTTTTCAGAGTCTACTTTTGTTACTATAAAAGTTGGAATGGTGTAGCAAAATAACACCGCTTGTACTTTTAATATTAGAAATAGAAGCTATTCTCAAAATAAAAATAATTGACAAAGTAGATGCAGATCAAATCACAAAATAAAAGCCAACATACATAGCATAATAGAAGCAAATCTTGAAATTGCTTGGGCGGACGTTCGTATTATGAGAAGTGATGACATATAATGAAAAACTGTCGCAAAAGAAAACACAATAAGGAGAAAATAAAAAAAGAGAACGATTAATCCTTATTTCTAAAAAAAAAATCTGCATTCATCATCAGTGCTAAAAGATTAATGGAATCATGAATATCAAACTCAAGTGTATCATTTCACACTTCCCACAAAGCTAATGAAAAATTAACCTACAAGTAGCTATGGAAAAGTATCTTACTGATGATGAGACCCTAGATATTTTTGGCATCAGTGATGTGATATTACAAACTATAAATTCAGTCAGATGTAAATCTAGTTAAGGTTGGACATATTCTAATTTGAATTAACAAAAAGCTGCAATATCATATTCAATGCTGGCATCTAAAAGATGACCAAAAGAGCATTGCCGATTTCTTAGAGAAACTACTAATTGACATTAAAATTTGTCCACATGAGTGAATAGTCCCAAAAGCCTTCATTCTAAAGAATTAGATTTAAAATCTATTGAATCTTCCATATAAGAAGATTATTTTTTAAGAAAGCAAAGAAAGGTTAGTTTCTCAGAAACTAGAAGAAAATTTAACATCAGAAAGCTAAAATTGGTTCACACAAGTGTATGGTGGGCATCCTCCATCCACTTTTAGGCGGCTCCATATACTGTCATATTGACAGACAGGTACAATAAAAAGATATCGGTTTATATTATCCAAAATATATCTATTATTTAATAACTTTCTAACATGAAAAAAACAAGCTAAGATAAAATTAAAGCAAAAATTAAATGTCTGCAATCTGGCATGGTGGAGAGTATGATGACATAGACTTCAAAAATTATTGTGCTAGTAATAGGATTCATATGGAGAGAATGGCCTCAACAATTTTCTAATAAAATAGTCCGCTAAAGAATAAATAGAACTCTGAATGAAATGGCTAAAACCATACGATAATATTGGAGACTACAAAAATAGAGACCTCCAGTACAGAGTATGTCCAATTAGAGCCAATTAATTTTAATAAAACAAAGGAAAAACCAAAAATAATCAAAATCAGCCAACTAGCATTCATGCAATAGAAGTTCCGAGATAACAAAAAATTCCAAATGCTCAATGACGTGAAAAAGAAGTGTCTCTCGAAAAAGCCAAAATACTTGGACGTTTATTAAAATATCTAAATAAACAAATTTACGAAAATAAGTATATCTATAAATCAATGAGAAGAAAAAAACCAAGAGAAAGTACAAGACAAGGCTAACAGTGAAAGAATCGAACACAAAAGAAGGTATTAAGTTCCTTGAAGCTCTCTTCTATGGTTAAACTAACACTTACAGAATTAAGTATTGTACCTGCAGAAGATTTACACCAAGAGCAAATAAATATTAAGACAACTTTTTCATCATAACGATCTTAAGAAAAATATCTCTATGGTTCAACTAGGCTATGTTGTACGGGAATAAGAAGATCATGATCTACAAGCACAATAACAGCTTTTATGACTTTGAATCAAACTTCACGATAATGGTATCAGAAGTTTGATGGATTCATGCACATGATTAGCTTTCACAAAAAGCAATGCTAATCATTATTGCTATACAAAAAATCACTGAAAAAAATTTAAAAAGTATATCACATTAGTTTCATATGTCGATGACCTATTGATTGCAGTAGCCAAACTTGAGAAAACCAACAATATTAAAAGACAAATGTCAAAGGAATTTGACAAAGACCTGAGAGAAGCCAAAATGATCCTTTGAATAAGAATAGATTGAGAAAAAGCTACAAATTTTGTGAACATATCACATTCTCAATGCGTTGAAGAGGTATTGGACAGTGTCAGTATAATGAAAATAAAAAAGTTAGCAACCTAGTTACAAGTCACTTCTAGTCTTAAAAAAATAATGACCAAAGTAAGATGAACAAATATACCATATGACAGAAGTACATTACACATCAACAGTTAGTTCTTTAGTGTATAGTAGTTTGCGCAAAACCATCCATTATAAATGCACTGAGAACTTGTAACGTCCAAATTTCGAGAAAGCAAATAAAGTTCTGTAGATCTGAAAAATATCTCAAATTTTACATCTCCTGGAATTCGATTGAAATAATTTTGTAAAATTCTATGCATGAAATCGTCAATTTCAAATAAAACACTAAGTATGAATTATGAACGGTTTGAGAGATCTAAAATTTGAAAGTTATAGAAATAATTAAATTGATTAAACCTATTTATTTTCTAATCTTCAGTACCCTTATTTTTCTCAACCTACCTTCACTCATTTTCGTCATCGTTTTTGGTCGATTAGGGTTCTCCAGAGCTTCGATTTCCTTCCCTCCCGAATTTCTGCAATCTCACTCCGTTTCCCTCACATGATAGCTTCCTCACTTGTATGGAGATGAGCTTGTGAGTGTTCTGCTTGGGGCACTGTAGCAACCGTGAACAAAAAAGGGGCGAGCGGCCACTTGAGAGCTGCAACTCGAGGTAAGGACTTTCAGGGATTTTTCGGTCGCTACTTGAATCTTTTATTTCCTTCCTCACCCTTCTGTTTTGACGTTTGCCTCATTTATGTGCATTTCTCATTTCTGATAACCGCCAGTGGTGTAGAACTTGTGTCAGAAGCGCCGAAAGTGGTTTGCAAGCTTCTATATGGGATTTAGCAAAAAATCGGCAAGTAGTAAAGTTTGGGGAGGAGATAAAATTGAATTAGGCGGTTTTGGAAAGGTGAATAATTGTCGAGAAGTTCATTTGAGGTATGTTTAGGTTATAAAAGTTATTTTTTTGGGTTAATGCATGTTATGAGCCAAATTTTATAAATTCTTACAACGCTTATGAACCACATTTCGTCTATACGAGGCGGTGAGCTCGAGATGAGAGCCTTGGCAAACTCATCGTAGAGCTGCTTCGTCAAGTCAGGTGAAATAATCTTGTATTAATTTAAGAAAAATAATCTTCCATAAGTTTTCATATGATCCCACGTTCGACAATGATGTATTTAGATATTCTTACATATTATGGATGAAAAGCAAGTGAA